TTTGCATTTCCACAGGAGTATTAGAAACAGCATGCCAATTTCTGTTTTTGTTTGTTTGTTTTATTTTTAAAGTCCTGAAATTGTGATTGAGACTGTGCTTAACCCAAACATCTATTAGGGGAAAATTGATATCTTAATGTCATCATTAGGTTGTTCAGTGCTGTCGAGTTGGCTCCAACCCATAGTGACCCTGTGTGCAACAGAACGAAAACTGCCTGGTCCTGCGCCAGCCTCATGATCCTTGCTATTCCTGAGCCCATTGTTGCAGCCACTGTGTCAATCCATCTCTTTGAGGGCCTTCCCCTTTTTTGCTGACCCTCCACTTTACCAAGCACGGCATCCTTCTCCAGGGAATACCCCTTCTGACATGACCAAAGTAGGTCAGATGAAGTCTGGCCATTCTCACTTCCAAAGAGCATTCCAGCTGCACTTCTTCCAGGAAGGATCTAATAGTATCTTCTAATTCATGAACATAGTGTATCTATTTATTTAAAAAACAAACAAACTCAATGCCATTGAGCTGATTCCAACTCACAGTAGCCCCCGCTGGGTTTCCGAACATTAAGTCTTTACAGAAGTAGATTGCCCCATCTTCCTTCTGCAAAACAGCTGATGGGTTTGAACCACCACCTTCTAGTTAGCAGTCAAATGCCTTAGGCACTTTGCCACCAGTGCTTCTTATCTATTAATTTAGTGCTCGTTACACTTCTTTCAAGGAGCTCTGGTAGCATAGTGCCTAAGGCACTTGACTGCTCACCAGAAGGCTGGCGGTTCAAACCCACCAGCCACTCCTCAGAAGGAAGGTTGGGCAATCCTACTTCCGTAGTGATACTGCCTCGGAAACCCAAGGAGGGGTCACTATGAGTCAGGGCCGACTAGATGGCAAACAACAACAACAACACATTTCTCTCACCAATGACACAGTTTTCAACTAGATATATTGCATATTCTTTGTTAAATTATTTCTGTGTTTTACTTTTAAAGCTATTTTGCATGGATTTTTATAATACTTAAGATACTTATTTTCCATTATTTTTCTGCTAAAACAGAGAATTATAGTATATTTTTGTGTAATGGCCTTGTATCCTGAAACCTTGCTAAATTACTTTGTTATCTCTAGTTCCTTCTTTTTGTACATCTTTTAGGATTCTTTACATAACAAGTCTTGTTGTCTACAATTATGAAAATAAGAAAATTTCACTTCTTACATTCCATTTTTTATGTCTGTAATTTTTTCTTAGCTTACTGCACTGGCTAATACCTCCAGTTAAATGATGAATAAATATATGTAGATTTTTTCATTCCACACTTATCCAATTTCTGCTCATAGGGGAAAATATTTCACCACTAAATAGACTTCACAGAAGCAATTTGCCAGAATTTATATGTAGTTTGCTTAGTTATTTTCTGAAAGAATGTTGAATTTTGTCAAGGACATTTTTACAATTATTGTAATGATTGTGGGTTTTCCTTTGTTATATTAAAAAGAGAATTACATTAAATATTTTTAATGTTTTATCAACTTTGTGGGAGCTCTGGTAGCACAGTGCCTAAGGTATTTTGACTGCTAACCAGAAGGCTGGTGGTTCAAACCCACCAGCCACTCCTTGGAAGGAATATTGGGCAATCTACTTCTATAGAGATACCTCCTCAGAAACCCAAAGGGTCTCTATGCGTCAAATCAATTCAACGTTTTTGGTTTATCAACCTTGCATTTCTGAGATAAACCTTTTATGATTATGATGAATTTATTTTTTTATTTACTGTTAGATTTTTGAGCAAGTATTTTCTGAGGATTTTTGTATTTGTGTTTAAATTACTTTTTCTTGTCATTTTTTCCCCACACTTTACTAATTTGTGGTGGGTGATCTCATAAAACAAGTTGTAAAGGGTTTCTCTTCCTCTGTTTCCTGAATGAGTTTGCACAATATTAATTTTTTTCCATTAAATATTTGTTAAAACTCTCCAATGTAATAATCTGAGTGTAGATTTTTTATGTAAAGCCAATGTCTTACATACATATGGACGATTCAGATTTTTCTATTTCCTTTTTTGCTCTGGTAAATTGTGTTTTTCAAGGAATTTATGCAATTCATTTATGCTCTCAAATTTATTGGCATAAGATGCTCATAATATTTCATAATTATGCCTTTAAAGTCCATGTGATTGGTAGTTACAATCCATTTTTCATACTGGTTGATGTAGTTTATGGTGGTTGTTTTCTCCCTCAGGTTCTTAGCCTTGCTAGATTGCTGTTAATTTTGTCAATCTTTCCAAAGGCCCAACTAGTAAATTTATTCTCTCTGTTATTTGTTTTCTATTTCATATTTACTCTTACCTTTATCTTTACATTCTTTATACTTACTTATACTTGAATGGCTTATCATGTTCCTTCTTAAAGTGGAGACTTAGATTATTGGGTTTAAATTTTTCCTATCTTTTAATATATATTTAATTCTAAAGTGACATAAAGCTAAAAAGTTTTCTCTAAGCACTGCTTGGGAGTTCTGGTAGCGTAGTTCCTAAGCACTTGACTGCTAACCAGAAGGCTGGAGGTTCAAACCCACCAGCCACTCCTCAGAAGGAAGATGGGGCAATCTACTTTTGTAGTGATACTGCCTCCGAAACTCAAGGCGGGGTCACTATGAGTTGGGTCCAACTCAACGGCACATAACGACAACAACAACAAGCACTGCTTTGTCTGTTTCCAACAGATGTTGATATGATGTGGTTTCCTTAACCATTCCACTCAATATTTGTTTTAATTACCCTTGTCATTTCTTCTTTGATACATACATTATTTTGAAGTTTGTTATTTATTTTTCATATAGATGGGAGTTTTTCTAGATATCTTACTAGTGTTGTTGTTGTTATGTGCTGTCAATTTGGCCCCGAGACATAGCGACCCCTCCTTGGGTTTCCGGGGAAGTATCACTATGGAAGCAGATTGCCCAACCTTCCTCAGGAGTGGCTGGTGGGTTTGAACCACCAGCCTTCTGGTTAGCAGTAAAGTGCCTTAGGCACTACGCTACCATTTCTAATTCTATTGTAGCTAGCAAATATCTACTGAAAATTTTCAGTATTTTAAAATTTACTGACATCTGTTTCATGGCTAAACATATGGTTAACATAGGTTAATACACACTTGAAAAGCCTATGCATTTTTCAGTTGTTGGATATAATGTTCTGTAAATCTCTGCAGATTGCTAGGTCACGATGGTTGGTGGTGCTTATTACTAATTGTCTGTCTGCTCTTTATGCAATTACCATGTAATTGGGACTTGCTTTTTCATACACTTGACAACCTCTGTCTTTCATTTACCTCTCCATCCACTTTGACAAACTCTCTTCCCTTGGGAATGGTTAGCCTATTACCCTTTAATGGGATCAGCCACATGATTGTCTTTGTTTCTATCATGTTGTTATTTTTGTCTTTCTCTCTCTTTTGATATTCCTCAGTTTTCTCTTTCCACCCTTTTTGGGTTACTCTAATATTTGCATTAATTTTTAATGAGTCAAAATGAAAAGGATGTAAGACTTCAGTACAGTAACCACTAAACACATGAAACTATTGGGATTATTTTAAAGCAATTAAAATTAAAAATCACATTCCTCTTATTAGCCACAGCCCAAGTGTTCAATAACCACATGGTTTTGTGGCTACTTATTGAATAGAGTAGAAACAGAACATGTCCATCATCACCTAAGTTTCCATTGGATGGCATTGCATTTGAATTTACAATATGCATTTTTAAAACTTCTCACAATATGTTGTTGTTGTTAAGTGCCGTCGAGTCATTTCCGACTCATAG